AACTGTGCTCAGCGCGCCAAAATAATAATATGAAAAAATTGAAACTAAAATTAAATAAATTATGCAGCAACTGTCATTAATAAAGTCGAGCGAAACAAAAAAATCCCACAATGAATGAAGGTCAGCATAAAGCAGCATAAATGCAACAACAACAAACAAAGCGACAGCAACAACAGCAAAATCAAAGTTGCATTTTGTGTTGAAATACCAGTTTTTTATTTGGTGAGCTGCACTTGAAATTAAAAACGAAAAAACAAGTGAAAATGCCTCAGTCAGAGCTGACCAACTGCGAGATACTCTGTACAATCTGCGCACATTTTTTCCAATTGTTTTCGATAATGAAATATATTATACTAACAGTTATTTCCCGGCTTTGCCCGCCCCACTGCCCGTGAAAAATTTGAGTCTACAAGTTGTACTATTCAAACTAACGTCCGTTTGAAAAATATGATTAAAGTTAAGTGGAAAACGAAACTTTCGTTCTTTGAAGCATTGCCCTGCATTTTCAATACAAGTGCGGCAAACTTTTCGATAAACGTGTCACATAAATTCTCAAAAAGAGCTTTGAAAATGATTTTGCAGGGGATGGTAAACTAAAAACTTTTATACAAACTTTTTTCTCGATTTTTCCACACTTGTGGGTGGAATTATCCAAAACCCCTTTAAAAGTTCAGATCTAACGGTTTGGGCTCTGCGCGGATCACCAATCAGTCAATAAGTCAGTCAGGACAAACAGTTCTATATAAAAGAATAACCAAATAAGAAAATTCTTTTCGAAAATAAACATAATTTTGCGAAGTGACTTTTAATCAGAAGTTTCAATTAATGGGCGAGTATTTTGAATCGATCAGTATTACTAAATTGTCCGTAGCTCTCAAACTGTAAAATATATACTAATTATTATGATTTGTTGCACACTATCTATAAATATATGTATGTGAAATCTTAAATTATCAGTTTCATAAATCCAATTCAATCAAATTAAAGAGAGCAATAAATACTTTTTTGCGTTGTATAAACAGAGTATAAAAAATCAAAAAATAAATTAAAAAAAAAAAAACTCTTTAAAAGTTATTGACGTCGTTGAATTTCAGTGAACAAATTTTCATTGCGGCGTTTTCTTTGCTTTTGGCGACTAAATTGAAAATGATTTAATTAATGCGCCAAGCCCCGAAGCGTAGCTCGACACCTTTTTTGAGTTTGAGTTTGGAGTTTGAAATTTCGAGTTGTTTTTATTTTTGCAATATTCCGCCAGCTAATATATGTACTATGTATATGTATATGTATATATCTACTCTTATGTCGATAGCAATTTTCAGCTGCATTGCCAAATCCCGCATTGAATTTCATATCATATTTTTCGAGGGCGTGGCTGTCTTTTAAGATATTTTTGTAATTAATCGCCGTGTGTACAGCAATTTATGAGATTTTCATGAGAATTTGATGCCTTCTGAGTTATGTGTGGGTTGAATTTTGTTTTTCTGAAGTGCGTAAGAAATCGAAACACGTGTGTCTATAAATTTGGCCATGTGTGTGCGCGTTTGTGTGTGTTATAAAGTGTCCATATATCAATTACAGTCACAGTCACAACAAATCGTGTGACAATTAAAAATTGGCATGCGTTCAACTGCAATAATTTGCATATGCCATGAGAGCGGCTTAGATAAAGAGCTTAGCATTCAATATGGTGGCTATTTAAGTACACTTAGATAATCACCTGGCTTCTACAATTTACAGATTTATCTTTGACAATCCACACTCAATGTCAGACTTAATATGGCGAACAATAGTATGGAGTGAAAATATAGTCAGAGCTACGCTCAAGTATAGAAAGTTTTTACAGATGTGGTCGCATAGATCATACTTCTATTCTTTATTTAATTAAAGTTAAGTCAAGTAGGAAGTGGAGAAATGCAGTAATTGCATAGCTCATCTTATGTGAGCTTATTTAGAACATCATAGTACGAGCGAATATAGCAGAACCTTTTTGTATTAGGTTTCTGAAAGTTATGCCAGTTAGTTTATATAGGTTTCATGTGGTATCGTAGAAATTCTTGTATTTTAATTTTTAAAACATATGAGAAGCTTACTTGAAGCTATGAAAATCGCATAGAAAGGCGATATTTAGCCGAGAGAATAAAAGAAAGCGAGAGCGAGTAAGAAAAGGGAGCAAGTTCAGGCGAGATGAAGAGAGAAAAACCAATTAAGGGAAATGTATATATAGACAGACTGGGAGAGAGAGATAGGGAGACTGGGAGAGAGAGACGGAGACACAGAAAGAGATAGAGAAAACAGGAAAGAGGCATTGATAGAAAAATGTAAAGAAAATAGGTACTTTAATATGTCCCCTTTAACTTACATATATAAATACTTACCCGCTCCTGGCAATACTTTTCTAGATAACCTTTATCTTATTACATCTGAATTACACCAAAACCAAACCCAAAACTGTCAAAGTCTATAAACAGCTCTCGTTTACACAAACAGATATCTTTATATATATATGTATATATATTTTTGATCAAGAGCAAACAAAATCCTTTCGGTTAGTCGGTTATTATTGGCACTCGGCAGACAGCAGACCGTTTTCCACAGCCGCTGCCAGACAAGTTATGTGAAACGTTTTCCCAAATTGGAACCAAAACAATACCCAACCTCCCCACCTGCCTACCTCCCCCCTATCGAGCACTGTGCCAGACACGTGTGTGCGCATTTGGATGCCTTTTCGGAACTTTTGTGCGCGATTTCTCTCTGCCTTTGCCTTATTTCACACCCACTCAACCAAAAGTTCTGCGTAAATATTTGCATTTTGCGGCTTCGGTTCGTTTTGCAGTTGGAAAATAAAGGGAACACACACAGAAAAAAGCAAATTTTAAAATCTTGTTTTTTTCTGTTTGCCTAAAAATGTGGTTGCTAGGCGAGTTTTTGGCATATAATAAAATTATTATTTATATGATTAAGTTGAAAGACCTGTAAAAAAAGAAATGCTAAATGAACTATATGAACATTTTGAAATTATAATAATTATATTGGGAGTTCTGTAAGTTCTTGAAAATATTTTAGAAAATGTATCAATAACAATTGGGAAAAACCCAATATAAATATCTTAAAAACATTGGGAGGCTTAAGAAAATTGGGTAAATCAAACAAAATAATTTATAAATAATTTTTTGAAATATTTGAAACAATAAAAATAATTTGAAGCAAAAAGATTCTTTAAAAACCTTGGATAATTGTTGAGAATCATTTAAAAAACGAGGAAATCAATTATAATTAATCTTTGGAACTATATGTATGTATTGATGTACTAATTTCGAGAATTCTATAATCTCCCAAAATTAAAAAACAAGTGGCAAAAGAGATTTCATCAGCTTGTCGCCAACCTGTGCAAACTCTTTCAAAAACTCATTAAACAATGTGGCAAATATTTAGTGTTTATAATCCATAATCGTAGCAAATAAATATACAGCGATACAAATATTGTTTACAATTAGCAGAACCCACAACGTCTGAATATTTATGAATGAATTTGAACTCATGAATACAAAACAGAAAAGATTCGTGTGGCTTATTTTTTGCTTTGATTCAATTCGATTAGGAGGGCAATCGAATTGATTCCAGCAACAACAATAACAATAATGGTATCAAAGAATCTCACAACTAGCCCTATATATGCTATATATGTATATATCCACAGTTGTTTTTGTTTTTTTAACAGTTGCCATTGGCGAGGTCAGCGGCACATAAACATGTCATAAATCATCCGTTGAGAAGTGCGAGCTAAATGGAGGCGCGTTGCCAAGGATTAGGGGGGCGTGGGGAGGCAAAAATGTCTTTCATTTTCGCTGCTAAAGGAGGGGGGGGGTCGCCTCCACATTTAATATCTTGACACTTGTGATATATTTGCTGCTAGTTTGTTTGTGTTTTTCAGCCATGGCTTTATCCCCGCTTTATTCACAATTCTAGCTCAATTTGAAGAGGCCATTGTAAAAATTCAAAAACTGTCAACAGCTTCATTAATTAACAGTCAGTGCAGCCAGTGTTGAGCAATGGGCGTGGTAACTGTCAAATTTGTCATTCATCAGCTGCGCTTTGTCCTCTCTGTCCTCTTGCCTTGTCTGCGTCTGTCACTTCGTCTGCGTCATCATCTGCTCCTTTTGTTTCTGACAGGAACAGCAGCTCGTTGACAGTTGGTCGCTAAATGGCCCATTTTGGGGTTTTGGGTTGTGGTCGGATATTTTCCCTGATTGAAGTTCTTGTTAATTGTCTGTTAAGAGCTTTAAAAGTTCCTAAGAAAATAAATTTGTGAAACGATATATTTTTAGAGGCAAAAAAATCAAATAATAAATTATTTACATAATTAATATAATTATAATAATATAAGATATTGAACAGTGAACTTTAAAATATTTAGTGTTGAGCAACACATAAATCTAAAAATTGCAAAATAAAAAAACAATCAATATTAATCTAGAAAACCCGAATATACAATTTTAAAAACATCCATAACTTTGGGAATATTCTCGTCTGATTGTTTTAACCTTCAATAGTCAAACTTTAAATACATTTTTAAAGGAATTATTGGTTACGATGCGTATACGCATTATCATACAAGAGCACGTGTACGCCACATTACGTATACGCATATGAAAAGTAGTTAATAAATGTTTTTATGCCCCTAAACAGGGTACTTAAAGTCGGTGTAACTCCTTAAATAAGACATATCCGCTCCCATTAGGTATATATGTATATAGTATATGTATATGTATACGGTCAGGTCGACGAACATGATATATTCAATATGTGGAAGGGTATTTAAGCTTTCGCAAGACTTCTGTTCTTTCTTGTTTTAAAACATATATTCAAATAAATTTCGTGTAAATAAATTTGTTTAAATTATATCTGACGTGCAGCATATGTATATATGTATATGCAGACAACGTCATCCAGCAAATAGAGAATCCCAAGCAAATAGAGAATTTTCGAAATTATTCCAAAAGCCTTGCAAATACCGTTACCGACTGCAACTACAAAAAGACATCAAATGTGAAGCGAAGCAAACGAAACGAAAAACCAACAAACTGCAAACACAATGAAATGCAGCTGAAGCAGAAAGTGAATGTAAATAAAATCAAATAAATACAGAACAAAATACAAAAGTGAGCGAAAAAACGTGCAAGCCAACAAAAAAAACAACAACAACACGACTAACGGCAACAGCTACAACAACAACAACAACAACAACAAGGAGACCGAAAAATCATGAGCGAGAAACGAATTGCGCACAAAACTGTCATCAAATGACAAATGCTTGACAGCATCAATCAGCAACTGCGACGGCGACTGCGACTGAGTTTAGAGCGGCGACAGAGATGGCAGCGCTTGGCCGGCGCCGCCGCAAGCAAAAACGCAGCGACGCCGGCAGAGCAGCAACAACAGCAGCAGCAGCAGCAGCAACTAGCATAACAGCGTTCGACTTACAGCTATCTCTCCCGTCGCTGCTGCTGCTCACGTTGCTGTTAATGAGGACCACAACAGCGCTGTCGACGCCGACGTCTATGCATTTGAATGAAACCAAAGAAAATCGTGGCACAGCCAAGCAACTTAGCGGAATTAGTGTTAACAACATGTCCAGCACGCCCACAGCCACGCCCACAACCACACCCACTGCCACGCCCGTCGGCATTAGGGAAAATGTTATGCTGCCCTCATCGGATCCAGAGCGTGAGGCGCAAATACTCTACGAGAAATCGCTGCAGGAATATCATGGCAGTCAGCGTGCCAAAGCAGCGGCTGCGGCTGCCAGCGCCAGCAGCAACGTCGATAGCAACGGTGTTAGCAGCAGCGGCAGCGGCAGCAAGACAACAGCACGCAGTCTGCATAGCGTCTGCGAGCTGTGGCTGCTGAAGCACTGCCACTGCACCGGCAGCCTGGAGAATCTCAAGCTGAGCTGTCGCAGCATTGGCATCCTGGCGGTGCCTGTTAATTTGCCTAGCGAGGTTCTCATTCTGTAAGTATAATATTCTTATCTATGCGCACATATAGAGTTATCTTTTGAATAACAGCGTATGTTAAACGGCCGTGCCGAGTAAAGTTTTTTTCTTTAAATTTAAGACCACTTTACCAGCTAGAAACTTTTTATTATTATTATTATTATAGTGATTATATTTACTATTATTATTATTATATTTACTATTCTTATTATTTTTAAATATTCCACAATTTATAGATAGATATAGATTATTACAATTAATTTATGGTCTATGCCATCAGCTTTTAATATTTCTTTCCATTTTATTCTTTCATCTAACTTTTCCCAAATCTAACGAAAAGAAAGACCTAAAGACCTACATTAAAACTATTAATATTGAATGTTGTTAGGCGATTTAATTATTAGGCGATTAGGGGGGAATGAGATTAAAGTATTTTGGCTGCCAAAATGCCTCGTATTCCCCATTCGTATAATTACAAGTCAATTTCGTAGTGTTGTCGAAACGGTTTCTTTTTCATTATATATCTCTATTTTTTGTTTTTTGTCAATTCTGTTTTGGCATGCGGTTTAATCTAATTACACATACGCCACGTTGTGCGAGGTTTCACAATCGCACGCTTGAGCTTTGCTCGTATGTTAGTCACGTTTTCTTGCCACCAAAAAAAAAAAAACCTCTCAAAGGAGTTTGGGCTCCCCGTTTTAGGTGGCCGCTGATTAATGGCCAAAGCGAACTGGCCATAAATAAATAAATAAATAAATTATTTATTAATTAACGCATCGCTTGGAGACAGTTCGAGTCATGGCCCATCAAATCTGGCTTTAAATATGACTGGCTGGAAAATAGATATGTCGTGTGGCAGGTTGCATTGCCAATTGTTGCCGCAGTTCATCTTCATTTTTCTGCCATTTTTCTGTTGCTTCAACTAGCCCCGCAGTTTCATGCTCAATATGTTTTATTTTCATTTTTTCTTTGAATGCCTTTTACCATTTGATTGATGGCCTGCAGAAAGTTTTCGGGTCCAAATTTGGCAACGTTTAAGCAGCCTTTTCTATTCATGATAATATTTTATTTGCCGTGCGAGTGAGTGGCTTATTGAAATTGATAGATGGGCCTTCTCGAAATGATATTTTCCTTGAGAACTAAGCGCCCGGAAACATATTAATTTGTTTATTATTTTGTTTCATTGCTGTTTTTCTTTTCCCTTACAGAGATTTGGGCAACAACAATTTGACCAGACTGGAGGCCAATTCATTTTTCATGGTGCCACATCTCGAGGAGCTGTAAGTATAACAGAGGGAGGGATGCGTTTGGAAGAAAACCAAAAACTTGATTATAAATGTTTAGGAATTTTAAAATGCACGCAAACAAGGCAAATAAGCCAAGAAAATATTACACATAATTCTTGCAAATGTACGGTAGGGTAATTAAAATGTTATACATTTAATTATAATTTAATATTTGTATACATTTTTAAACTTATTCATTTATATATATAAAATATATTTTCATGCCAAAAAAAGTATATAGAGCAGATATTATAGAAACATCAAAGTAGATGAAAGCAAAGACTTTATTTTATATGTTTAGAAAATTTTGGAATGTAGGAAAATAAAGAGAAATACATTAAGAAAATATAACAGATATTTTTTCTGTAAACATGAAGATGAATAAATAAAATTGTATAACATTTTATATAATATTTTCTTGGTTTATTTTTAAGTACCATTTTATATTCTTGTAGAGCGCATTTTAATTTTGTCATGAAATGTGTGTCGTATTAAGAAGACAAATCCGACCACATAAAATATATATATCAGGATCAACAGCCGCGTTGATGTCCGTCTGTCCGTCTGTCCTTCTGCCTGTTGCAGGCAGTACATATGACAGAATCGACCGGATCGGACAATATTATATCATATAGCTGCCATAGGAAAGATAGTTTAAACTCAGTATTTACGGGCTTCACTATCCTCACATAACTGCAAAAGGCAAATGTCTACAAGCGTATTAATTAATCAATTAATTATTTAAAAAATATATTTATATAAATACCAAAATCTATGTATGTATGCCCAATTTTAGAAGTATATAAAGCAGATATTTTAATGGATTAAATGAGAGATCAGCAGCATATGAAAACATTTCTCACTCAAAAATAATTACTAAATAATTTCAAGCATATTTAGTAAAACAATTTGCCTAAATTAATTTCAAAATAAAAACGTTCCTTAATTGATTTTCTATATAGAATATAGCTGAAAGACAAAATATATTTAATCAAGTTAATAGTATAAATTCATATACTAGAGACCAAAGTATATACATTTAAAAGTTTACCTTTTTAAATTATACCAAAAGTCTATAAAAGTATTTAATGCCAAAAATACACTTGAAAAATTGCAAAGATTTTAAATCTTTGTTATTATTAAGCACAGCGGATATAATAAATGGTGCCATTTGGCCTTCCAGGCTCCACTAAAGCCACATAGTATTTGTCACACACACACACACACACACCAGCCCCCCTCTCCTAAACTGCCTGTTGTGTAATGCCTCAAACCACAAGTCATTGCCGCCGCCCTCTATTTGCCACGCCCTCTTTTTAATTTTTATACTAAGCGGCCAGCGGCGATTGTTTCAAAACACAAAAAATTATATGAAAAACAAAGGCGACAAAAACATGGCGCAAACTTTCATTGTTGCCTGTCATGAGCGCTGTGGCTCATTATTCAATTTCACAGTGTAGTCGCCCGCTCCCCGCTCCCCGCTCCCCTATCCCCACCACACAGTAAGCTGCCCCTCTCCCAAAAAAATCACTGCGGTCAGTTGTGGACAAGGAGTTTAGACAGGACAGTGACTGGGCCCATGCCCAGCTATATAAATTACTTGATTATGTTTTATACATACACTCAGAGAATATACCACAAAATATCAACTTAAGAGAAATACAAATGTAACTTAATATTAATCGGCACAAAGTTCTTAAGCTAAGAAGGCATTTCTTATTTTAAGAAGTTGGTTTAAATGCCAAAATTCAAATACAGTTTAATATTGTAGTAGTAAATTTTGAATATTTATTGAGCTTATTTATTCATTTTCTACTTAATTCAAGTTTTTTTTTTCGAATTTATATCATACTTAAGTGGAGAATACTGAACTAAAAAATAATGTTTATTTACATTTACAAATCAAAATACAAATTTGAGTTTTTAATGTCAAGATTGCCCGAGCTGCGAAGGAAATTCCCATTTTAATTCCCTTACCTTTTTCTTTAAATACTTTATTTGGGAATTAATATTGAAATGTACAGATTTCCTGAGCTGATAAGGAATTTCCCCTTTAAAGGAATTTTATTTTTACCTAATACTTTAAAGCCTTCATTCAGCATAGTTATGATTCTTTTAGGTATGGAAATTCATGGTATATTTGTATATATTTTAATCAAGCTTTCCTCTCTTATTCTTATATTTTTAACATTTAATGTCAGGAATTTTTCATGCTCAATTTAAGAAAGTGCGAGAATGAAGGGAAATTTAAGACAGAATGGAAATAACTTCACAAACTGTGATTTCCTTAGGGGTTATTCTAAATAAAAAACGATTAAAAAATACATTTTTCTCTGAGTGTATAGATATATGTGTGTGTGTGTGTGTGTGTGTGTGCATTTCAGCGACTTTGCTGGATTAATTACTCGGGCTGTTATCCTTGCAATTTCCTGCACTTTCGACTTTCGTCTTACGACTTTTGTTGACCAAGGGAAGGTTTTTTTTTTTTTCTATTTGCAGAACTTTGTCGGACAATAGCATCATTAATATGGATCCGTATACGTTTTACGGTTTGGCCAAATTGAAGCGTTTAAGTTTGCAAAATTGCGGCCTTAAAGCACTCGCGCCACATTCCTTTCAAGGACTCAGCCAGCTTGTCAGCCTGTAAGTATTGAATGCCAACTCAAATTGTTGTTGTTTTTCATTTGTAGCTTTGTGCGTGTGTGTGTGTGAGTGAGTGTGTTTGTGTGTGTGAGTGTGTGTGCGTGTGTATCTATTTAATGTTTGCTTTTAAGCGTTGCCAGCTCCTTCGAGAAAGGATACAGCCGCAGGCTGAAGGCAGACGCCTGCAGGATCAATTAGTACGCTTGCTGCCACTTAGTTTGCTGACTGTGCACACACACACACACACGCGCACACACATACACAACAAGTACAGCCAGCAATTACACGCTATTTTGTTCATATTTTACGCTTTTCTATTTCCTTTACTCACTTCGTTGCGCAATCGTTCAAAAACAAATGCATATATATCCACATATATACATATATGTATGACAAATTACACCCGACACCACCTGCACCGCCACCAACCCAACCCCCCCGCGGCACAGTCAATTGAACGGCAACGCCTTGGTCAGCCTGGATGGCAACTGTTTGGGCAACCTGCAACAGCTGCGCACCCTGCGCCTCGAAGGGAACCTCTTCTATCGCATTCCAACAAACGCTTTGGCCGGACTCAAAACACTCGAAGCACTGTGAGCGTTTTTTTTATTATTTTTTCGTTTATTTTATTTATACTTATTGTGCTAAGCTTTTTTTTACTAACCCACCAGTTGCATGTTTGAATTATTTAATTCTCGCATTTGCTGCCACTTTAAATTAATATTCCCAGCTTATCAAAATGTATGTCCATTTAATTATGCATTGCATTCTGCACCCTTTTTAAGCTAGTCCCGCTTCTAATTTTATTTATTTGTTTTTCTGATTTAGTTTTGCTGTCTGCATAATTTTGCATGTGCAATTAGCAAATTTGCTTTTGGTGGCAGAAATATGTATTTTATTTTTATTTATGTGCGGTTTTTAGCTGTGCGTATTTGGGCCTTAATTGAAATCATGTGAAATTGCTAATGCGTTGACAAAAGCTCCGACAATAAGCCAACAATTAGTTTGACAGCATTTTTGGAATTTTATTTGCATGTTAGGAATTTCATGTTTATTAATTTATGTGGCATTCTTTTTGGCGCTGTCTGAAATTGAATATTCAGACGAGTTCGCGGTTTTCATGCCAAATCAATTGAATTTTCTTTAAACATTAAACATTTTATTACTATAAAATACTATTTATTTATTTACAAAAATAAATCCTTATACTACATGGAAGAGTGATAATTAAATTAAACAACTAATTTAATAGATTCATTTTTTATCTAACGTTGATTTTGGCAACCTTTCCAATTTTGTATCTTAAAACTAGTATTTATTTAATAACTGAAATACACAATTTAATCTTCTCTAACAATAAGCGTATTAATCACAATAAGATACTTTTTATATATTTAAAAAATAACTTATCTGGAATCCTCTTAAAATTTATAAAAAATGTTTTATTTAATATTATTTTATTTTAAAGTTAAAATCGCATATTAATCTTACATTAAGCATTATTCAATTTAAATTCTCAGTAATCTACTTAAATTATAAGCACGCTCAATTATGTTTTGTCATTAATTTAATGCGCATGTTTTTTACTCAAACTTTGAATCGTTGAAAGAAACTCATTTACAATTTCTAACCATAACTTAGGAACTTGGTCAATTGCTCAACTCTATGTGGTCTATAAAAAGTTGAATAATAACTGAAAGCAGTTGCTCATAAAATATACGATTACTCATAATTTCTCATTTTCTCCACACTCTTTCTCTCTCTGGCAATCTCTCTCTCTCTCTCTCAACCATATTGCGAACTTATTAATGCAACCGAAATATTTAGCAATTTGGGCAGCAATTTGTTGACAATAATAAACGATGAGGACTTTCCGCGAATGCCAAATTTGATCGTGCTGTAAGTAGGACACCAGCCTATAAATTGATTTCTTATATATTTATTAAAGAATATTATTTATTTAACAGCTTACTGAAACGAAATCAAATCATGAAAATCTCTGCGGGCGCTCTCAAGAATTTAACGGCTTTAAAAGTTTTGTAAGTAAACCAAATACTTTAAGAACTTTACAAAAACACAAACATTTATATATATATATACATAAACACACACATACATGACATGACTGAACAGAACCGGATGTTACGACATGGGACAGACATCCCATGGAGCGACCCACAAAATTGCAAGTGATATTCAAGTCAAGTAAAATGCAATACTAATAGAATTCCGAATACTCTTGCAAATATTATTAGAAGGAAAGCTTAAGAACAATACTTTATTCTAAGTCAAAAAGGACTGATTAATTATTTTATGAAACAGCTGAAAGACAAATAATCAGAGTATATTATGATATCATGAGACCTATTAGGGAACGTTTGATTAATAGTTAAAGTTAAATAAATAAATTACATTAAAAGCTAAAAATAATGTAATAAAAGAATAGAAAGTTAGTAGAGACCTAAAGAGACCGCTTGGAATAAAAGATTAAATAAAAAAAAATTAAAAAATAAAATTATATTAGTAAAAACCAATAATCAAAAAAATTTTAAATATTGATGGCGTTTAAAGACATACGCTTAAAATAATTATAAAAGAAAAAAATATAAATAATAATTAAATAGTTGAAAATAAAAAAATTAAAAAATTGATAGTAAAAAATCAACGTACTAATTATAAGTAAACACTTTTGGAACCACACAACAAATCAAAAAACAGTTTATGATTTAGGAAAAATATCTAGACATTTTTGTGTTGAAATGTGATCAAAGAGCGCTAAAAAAAATATAGAAAAAAGGATGCGGAATTTTGTAGGCACAAAAAAAAAACAAAATATAAAACACAATTTTGAAATGAATCCCGTAACCTTTAATTTCCAAACATAGAGTCATAGTTTTTTGGATTAGAAAAGATATTAAAACAAAAAGTTTAATTAAATTAATCAATTATGTCACAGATATTTATTATATTTCTTACTAATTTTTTTTATTTATTTATTTATTTTAGTATTTACAATTATATATATTATATTTAATTTTTATTAATTTTCTTATATTTTATTTTAAATTTTAAAATCTTTAATATGACAGCACATTTAAGAGTATTTTTTTGTGAAAACTCGCTGCAGCGCAAACTTCATATGAAAGTTTCAATCCTTAGGAGCGTAAACAGCAGCAAGTTGAAGTGCAAGTGGAAATGGAGTTCATCCGTTTCATTTCTTTTGGTGCCTCGTAAACGTTGAAAGTGTGTGTAAAAAATGGGTATGTTGTTTTTGTACAAATGTATGTAACAGACAGTAGGCGGCTTCTCTGACACCTTACAGTGTATGTCGGCACGACAAGACGAGTCGAGTCTGTCCGCCACGAACATGATATATTCGAAAAAATATAAAACATATATTCGTGAATATTATAAGTAGGCTTAGTTTGCTCCAAATCTCCTTTCATTTATTTAATATCGATGTGTTTATTTTAAAGCAGACCTTTTTTTTATTATTAGTTTTTTAGTTTCGGAGATTTTAAGGGAAGAAACATCTGCAAAAAAAAACAAGAAAGCAAGTTCATCTTCGGCACGCCGAAGTTAAATAGTTTTCATTTTTCCAAATATGTGAGAATAGCAAAGCTCGAAAATACTGAGCTTGATGAAAATATCTTGGAAAACTGAATATTTCCGAATTTTCTAACGAACTTTACTATGACAGCTTTATGTTATATGGGGTAAGGTAAAAAACTAATTTCGAGATGAATATCCTTACATTTAGTTATTTGCACATATGTACATCAACTCCTTAGTTGTATGCCCTGTAAGGCTTCAAGTTTCAGCATAAAGCTGTTTAAGGGGTATCTTCTGGTCCGTCTTTTTTGACTAAAGCATTCTTGTTTATTTTTGGGCCATGGTTCGAATAAATTTCAATTCTTGGAGCAAAGCGTGGAAAACTTTATTTTTTAAGCGTTGCGACAGCTTAAATTGTCGACGTACCGACGCCGCTGCTGGCGTCGCAGTCACCGTCGCAGCCGTCGTCGCAGTTGTCGTCGCTGTTGCTGCTGCTGTTTACCGCAAATTTTTGGCTTTTGCATTGCATACTTTGGGGGCGGGCGCATAAAGTGCCGTTAGCCAAGCTCGAGGGCTGCAGACGATGACAAATATGCAAATTTATGTTGCGGCTGACAGACGTGGGAACTGAACTAAGCAGACAAACTGCACAGGGGATATGCGGGAGACGTGCGTGCCGTGGGAGCCGTGAACGTGCAACTGTATAAGAAGAAGAATGCATCAAGTGAAAGTGAAAAACTTTTGCCGTGCAACGCGTAAATCTGTGTTGAAAGTATCAAGAAATTTTCCGTATGCATTTCCCTAGAGATTTATGAGTTTTTTCAACTCAGACTCTGCCGCACGAAGCCAACCAACAGCCGATACCGCACCCGATACCCGCCAACCCCCACCCCTTCAGTTGCGTGTCTGTAACGCGTTCGCCAAGTGAAAGTTGCGCGAGTTTTGTTTTAATGCCAGTCACGCATATCGAAGGATAGTGAAGTGAACTGATGTTAGGGACACGGGAGGGGGGTGGGGGGATATACATGTATTAATACATTTAATAGAAGGCGGGACTGAAAAAAAGCACACTAATGATAGAAAAAATTAAAATAAATAAATAACATCATTAAAATATTAGAAAAAATAATAATAAAATTACTTAATAATGAACAAAGTAAGAAACCTTCATTAATATTTACACACATTTACATTCGTTACTTATCGTTCATTTTTTTTAATTTTAAACCCATATTTGAAAAGTGGTGCTATTATTTTGTTCGCCCAATTTGATCAATTTCAGTAAAGTTCCTTAGATAACTTAAAAACGTTATGAATAAGGCTGATTCCTTTTTTACTCCCAGATTTGTAAGAGTCGTCCCTTTCTAAAAATGTGCTTAACGTTTCCTTAACGTTAAAAATGTGAGTTGGGCGACTATTTGAAAATTGCTTGTAGTGCACACGTATAATGTACATTTTTTCAAAGATCTTGGAAAATGATTTTGAAAGCGATCGGACGGTAGACAATTTACCAATTTACCAATTGCGGGCGAAATTTCCAAAATCGCTGAAATACGTGTTCATTAATCTCTTATGTAGAGCTTTGAAAATAAGTTTTGACGCAAATCAGACAAAACTGAAAACTTCACCAAAAAAAAAATCGTTGAATCGCACCATTCACCGAGAAAGCTTTGATATTGCGAAAAATGTGAAACACGTCTCAAATAATTTTTCGTATAGATCTTTGTAAATAATATTGAGCACGAAACGTCACTCACAAAATCTTTGACCCCTATTTCCATTAAACGCCCCTCAAATGAATTTGAACAAAGATCTTTGAAAATTAGTTTGAGGCCGATTGGATGGTAAACAAAAAAGTTTAATGCAAAAGTTTTTCGCGATTTTTCCAAACTTGCCGGGTGGAATTTCCCAAAATCCCGTCTTAACGTGCACCTTCATCACATAAAAATTTCATCTTCTCAGCTCTTACGGTATGGGCTGTGCGTTGATCATCAATCAGTCAGACAGTCAGTCAGTCAGTCAGTCAGTCAGTCAGTCAGTCAATCAGTCAGTCAGTCAGTCAGTCATTCAGTCAACCATTGAGGACAAACAGTTTTATATATAAAGATTATTTAAATTAGAAATAAAGTGATAAAGTATTAGTATAAATTACACACACATGTACATATCATTTAACAGAAACACTTTGAATTTACATATTTGTACACATATTTTTAATATTTTTACCCTCACGTATAATTGAAATCAATGCACTTTGTTTGAAACTAAACTTTATATATTCATGCATAAATTTGCATCCCACACACACACACACACACACACACACACACACACACACACACACACACACATTGACACACATATATATTGTTGAGGGTGTCCCTGGACCATCCAATCAGAATGTTTAGCTACGTGCGGACACGTACAGAGATTGAGACTGGACCCACGAAATGCGAAGAGCGCAATGCAAATGCACAGTCGGGCGACTCACAGAACGAATCACAATATTTATAAACGATATTTGAGATGTGCTTCAATAATAATTTTATGTTTCACTCTTCTTCTTTGCCAATTTTTTTTTCTTTGTAGAGAACTGGATGATAATTTGATAAGCAGCTTGCCGGAGGGACTCGGCAAATTGCCGCAGCTGCAGGAGCTGTAAGTATTTGCACCTGGTGCCAAACATAGATTAAAACCTTGGCAAAGGGTTGTTGGAGTGGACAGTGGGACAGGAAGTGGGTTGGTGTATGAGGGGAATGCTGTAAACTAGAGTAAGGACTGCTACATTTTGCTGCATTGTTAAGTTGGCAGCACAACATTTGCTACTTTGTCAGGCGGCAAACAAGCGGAAACCAAAAATCATAACGCGTCATTACTTTGCGAATTTACGGCGCTGCCCCCCAGCCCCAACCCACACCCATCCACTAGTAGAAGCTCTAAGCAACTACCCCCCTCGGCCTGCAGTTGCCGTTGACTTGAGACACATCCTGTAGCCATTGCGAATGCAACTGTTAAAAATGTAAAGAGTAAAAGTCTATTTACTCTTTCATGCGGTTTGTGAGATAAGTCCAAAATCGTAATAAGAAGGTCTGGAGATTAAGAGAGAGAGAGAGAGAGAGAGAAAGAGAGTCAGAGGTAGCCCTCACCCGAGAGAGGGATTGAGAAAAACAGAGATAGTTAAAGATAGTGAGAGAGGAGTTTAGAAAGAGAAAATAGGAAGATCTATAAAAGTAATACATAACTAAATGTATTTTAATATATTATTTGCGTATTTTTCGAGCACTATAAATAAAAGTCAGAGCTCACTATAAAATATTACAAAGCTCACATTTAAGATTAAGATATAAATATCGATAAAAATCGATACCCAACCAATTGTCAACAACCACTTTTAAGTATGCCAAAACATTCCAAAAATAATATTAAATCGTCTAGAGATATCCTATAATCTTATGCAAATTTTGATAATTATCGACTTATCAATTATAGAAATCATATTATTATAGAAGTTATTATAGAAATCATATATTTTCAGCTTTAATATGATTGACTTTCAAGAAAAGGTAGATTTACAATTTAAAAAAATTATTCCGAAATATGAAAATATTGCTATTATAACAGACATTATCGATATAAATAAATTGATATATTTGTAATTACAATATTAATATATCGATATACAATCGATTAAAACTCGCATTATTTGCATAATTGATTGTATTTCGATATATTATAAGCAATCGATTAAATCTGGCATTATAGGCTAAATCGATCCGTTTATAATAACAATATAATGTTCTCCAAAAATACGACAATTTTGTTATTAAACTGACATTATCTGAATAATCGATTGTACATCGATATATTTATATTGTTATTGGAAAATAACAACATTATCGTATTTTTTGAGCATTTTTGTTTAATAATTACATCATAAATCGGCATAGACTATCGGTTATGCCAATTATAATAATTCTTAATAGAGGGTATTTCAAATTCTTAATTTCAATGTGATTTTTTTCTGGTTGCAGTTGCATTTTGTTGTTGCCACACGCACTTCCTGCGAGTGGCAACTGCGGCAACTGCAACGACTGTGGCAACTGGCGACTGTCATTGGAATCGTTGACATCGTTGCGACAGTTTTTGCCTCTTGCAACGTTTCTCAAATGTCTCCCCAAGGAAATTCAATTTCTGGTAAACAGGATAATTATGAGCATGTTAAATGTTGCGATAAAAGCCACGCTGCGTTGCACTCGCCCAAGCCAGCTGAAGCAACTGCTATCCCCATGATTGGGGAATTAAACTGGCAAATAAATTCGTTTCGGGTGGGTGGAGTGGCCTGGGGGCGTGGCCGTTGAGAAATCTTGCACTTTTTCTTGGCTCACATGTGATGCGATTTTTATTTTTATTTTATTTCTTTTTTTCTTACCCACAAGCAAGAAAAACAAATTTAAAAGGATTAAAAACATTTTGTAGTGCTTGCAGCTTGTTGACTGCCAAGCAGAGTTAACTGTTTCTTAGTGGAAAGCCAAACGAAACCAAAAAAAAAAAAGGAAATGAAAATAAAAATAAAATGAAAAGCCAGGCAACAAATTAAACCGATAAACCCTGAGATTTGCTAGAAACTTGTGCTAGCAACTGAAAAGCAAAATAATATTGTAGACATCAAATTCGGGAAATTAGGAGAACAACAAACAAGAATTAGGCTGTAAAAACATTGCTTTATTAATTATTAAATTTAAACAAAGTTCAGAAAATCCTTAAACCTTGGATCTAGACAGGAAGGCGAAAAAAGCTTAAAATAGAAGTGAACTAACTAACTATTTCAACAAAAAATGCAATAGCTAAGAATATGTTATTTAAATATTTTCATATTTTAATTCCCTAATTAATGACAAACAATAATTTATAATATTAGAAAACAAATTTTCATCCATTTCAAATTAAAATTAATATCTTTCATAAAAGTTGGAGCTAAATATTTAAATTAAATAGTGGAAAATATTTCTTAAATAACCCAATTGTGTACCTTTTATATGCCGTCTGTGTCTAGGTGCCTTCAATTGAATTTTTGTATACGTTTCTTAAAATGCCTTCACCTTAAATGTTGACTCACCAAGGAGAACAATCTTTTCAAGTTTCTGGAAAATGTTCGCAAGTGCATTTCCTGAATGTTGGCCAAGAAAAACCAAAAGACGATAACAAAATGAGCGCCAAAAAAAATATATATATATATATATATATATTGTGCACTGATTTTATGCGTGGCAGTTGTCTTGGTAGCTGGCCAACTTGACTTTCAAATGCAGCTGCAACGCGGCAAGTGTCAAGTGGCACTTGCCAGCAGAGTGCATTTTCTAGATACGCGCTTGCATCTCACAGATACATATCTATCTTTTGCAGGTCCATGACGAGCAATCGCCTGCGCTGGATAAACGATACGGAACTTCCACGCAGCATGCAAATACTGGATCTGCGCGCGAATCCTCTATCCACGATCACAACAGGAGCCTTTCGCGGCATGTCTAAGCTAAGAAAGCTGTAAGTACCTGGTGTTAAGGCCAACCTGTGACAATTTAATTATATATATTTTACAATTGCAGTATACTCTCCGATGTGCGCACTTTGCGTAGCTTTCCTGAACTGGAGGCTTGCCATGCGCTGGAAATACTCAAGCTGGATCGTGCGGGCATTCAGGAGGTGCCATCGAATCTGTGTCGTCAGACACCAAGACTGAAGAGTTTGTAAGCTATTGAAATACAACATCTATATGATGTCCGATCTAATATTGTTATTGTCTTTAGAGAACTTAAAACCAATTCCCTGAAAAGCATCCCAAATTTAAGTAGCTGCAGAGACTTAAGGCTGTTGTGAGTATATCAACTAGAGTTGGGCGCGTAAAAATATTAATAATTTAATATACAAAATTGATCAAAGCTAATGTTTCTTTGTACTTAATATTTTAAATACATGCCCATCTCTAGTATAAATTCAACCTTCGCTAATGAACTACTACGACTTACCAAATCTTGCTTTTCAGAGATCTATCGAGTAACCAAATCGAGACGCTACAAGGACGACCTTTTCATGGACTCAAGCAGCTGCATGATCTGCTGCTCTCCTACAATCGGATCAAGACCCTGCCGCAGGATGCCTTTCAGGGCATACCCAAGCTACAACTGCTGTGAGTATATGCGAAACTCTTTCATTAGACTCTAAACACTAGCCATCTTCTGTTCTGCACAGCGATCTGGAGGGCAATGAGATAGCCCATATACACAAGGATGCGTTTGCTGCCTTCACAGCCCTGGAGGATCTCAATTTGGGCAATAATATCTTCCCACATCTGCCGGAGGCGGGTCTACGCGCTTTGCTGCACTTGAAGACGTTTAATAATCCAAAATTGCGCGAATTCCCACCGCCCGATACGTTTCCACGCATCCAAACATTGATCCTGTCATATGCGTATCACTGTTGCGCCTTTCTGCCTCTGGTGGCCATGTCCGCACAGCGCAAAACCTCTCAGGTGCAGGAGGCCGTTCTCTTTCCATCCGATGCTGAGTTTGACATGACCCTGTGGAACAACAGCATGATGAACATTTGGCCACAGATGCGTGCGTAACACATTTAAAGTCGTAATATTCTGTTCTGCTATTCCCTACCAGCTGTAAATTCAAGTCTGTCCACATGCTCTAAAGGAGCATGTTGTCCGCAAAATGCATTTTTATAAGTAGACATATATATATAGGTATTATGACTGAAGACCCACAAGATATGCTTCTTGGTTTTGTGCCCAGCTTAAACCAATGCCTTTCCCTTAAGCTCGGGTCGTTGACCTGGTTGTCCATATCCTAGAACTCAGATTCGGATTCGAACTAGAGCTGGGCTGGGGCCCACAACGTTTCCCGTGCAGCAAAACTTCACCAAAACGAAGAACCTGTTATCTAATGTTAGCATAGAGTGAAAACAATTTTATTAGTTATTATTTGACTCGAGCCCAGTCGATAGTTCGCAAGTTTCACTTACAGATCTTAGACATCATTTTTCCGTTTATTTCGATAAAAACTAGACAAAATTATACAACAAGAGACTTAAACGAAAATAGATATAAAGTTAGTTTCAATTCTCAAATTGAAGAAATTGTATATTTAAAAACTTGTCCATTCGCAGATGAGACAGAATTTAAAATTCTGGATTCCAATCGGTTCGGTTTAAAGCTGTTTTGTAACTTTTATAGTTATAGATATTAAAGTCTGAGGGTTGAACTTGCCAAATGTGGGAGATTGATGAACTCCCTTAAAAATCAAGTTTAAAATATTTTTGAAAGACGTAGTTGTAGACCAACAAACCCAATAACTAAAAAGACTTCTTGCAGGCCTTTTTAAGTTGCCTTTACCTAGTGAACAGAGTATTGCGCAGTCTGTTTTATCTGGGTGCAAGTTTCTTACTTATTTGTTCTTCTTGCAGACAATCTTAGCAAGCAGCTGGGCGCTGCGATGCACGATCTGTGGGACTCGCCGCTGAACAACTACAATCTAAATGAGGATCTGCAGCAGTCGCCGCCGGGCAGCCAATCGGCTAGCAGCTATATGGAGGAATATTTCGATGAGCATGATGTGAGCGGACCCGGCACCGGCTATGGCTTTGGCACGGGCCTATTTAGTGGCATTACGGCAGATGATCTGCAGCCGGGCTCGGTGCAGTGTTTGCCCATGCCGGGTCCATTTCTGCCCTGTGCGGATCTCTTCGACTGGTGGACGTTGCGCTGCGGTGTTTGGGTCGTCTTTCTGCTGGCGCTGCTGGGCAATGGCACCGTTGTCTTTGTGCTGGTCTGCTCCAGATCGAAAATGGATGTGCCCAGATTTCTGGTTTGCAATCTTGCCGCCGCGGATTTCTTTATGGGCATCTATCTGGGCATTTTGGCCATTGTTGATGCGGCTACTTTGGGTGAATTTCGCATGTTTGCGATACCCTGGCAAATGTCGCTGCTCTGCCAGTTGGCTGGCTTTCTGGCGGTGCTCAGCTCGGAGCTGTCTGTCTACACGCTGGCAGTGATTACGCTGGAGCGCAACTATGCCATCACCCATGCGATACACCTGAATAAGCGCCTGTCGCTGCGCCAGGCGGGCTACATCATGAGCGTTGGCTGGATCTTTGCGCTCTGCATGGCGCTTCTACCGCTGCTCGGTGTCTCCGATTATCGCAAGTTTGCCGTTTGCCTGCCCTTTGAGACGACCACGGGCGTGGCCAGTTTGACCTATGTGATTAGCCTTATGTTCATCAATGGCTGCGCCTTTCTCACCCTGATGGGCTGCTATCTGAAGATGTATTGGGCGATACGCGGCAGCCAGGCCTGGAACACGAACGATTCGCGCATTGCCAAGCGCATGGCATTGCTGGTGTTTACGGATTTCCTCTGCTGGTCACCCATTGCATTCTTTTCCATAACCGCGATTTTTGGACTGCAGCTCATCTCGCTGGAGCAGGCCAAGATCTTTACGGTGTTCGTATTGCCGCTGAACAGCTGCTGTAATCCGTTTCTGTATGCCATCATGACAAAACAGTTCAAAAAGGATTGCGTCACGCTTTGCAAGCACTTCGAGGAGACACGCATCGTTGGCGGCGGCGCCACTGCAGCGGCACGTGCCGCACGTGGCAAGCGTGGCGGTGAGCTGCCGCCGCCGCTGCTGCCTGCTACTGCCACTGCGGCGGCGGCTGCTGCTGGTGTGGCACATCCGCCTGGATGCCGCTGCCTGCGCATGCTGCCCAGCGAGATGCCCAACTGGCATAAGATGGAGCGGACGACGCCGACATTGTGGCAGCGTCTCAAGCGCCTCTGCTGCGGCCAGCGACAGCGACGCAAGCAGCGACGCCAGCCGCAGCAGCGACGTCAACGCGCCTACACCGCCGCCGCCGCCAATCCGTATCAGTATCAGTTCGCGGAGTTGCGACAGCAGCGCAAGAATCGAGCCAGCTCCATATCCAGCGAGAACTTTTGCAGCTCGCGCAGCTCCAGCTGGCGCCATGGCGCCAACTCTTCGACGCCGGCGCCGCAGTCGAACTGCAGCATGCCGCTAAAGCTGATGGAGCCGGGCCAGAGCCACACGCACGGACGGCGCAGGCATTCCGCCTGGCTGATCACCCGGAAGACCTCACAGGACTCGAATTTGTCAAGCTCCCGCAACGATTCGTCCGCATCGGCCACTACGGCCAGCACCTCTACATTCCGGCTGTCGCGCTCCAGTGCCGGCAGCAGCACGCCGTTGCCCTCGATAATTGGTAAGTCGACTGCATTATTATACAATATCACTTGCATAGAACACACATAAATCTAACGAGGGAGCTAGAATTTTTGGAGCTTTTTCATAGAGGGAAAGCTTGAAAATCTTCTCAATTAACCCTTTTCTAGAAAAAATAATCAACCTTCTCTATCAAAATCTACTTAATAACAAAAATCAGACTAATTCCATAGAAGACTTGGGAAACATTTAAAAATATTTCGCGAGAGTAAGACAGACAGACTGAATTAATCAATTAAGCGATTAAGCAATTAACCATTTTTTTTGTAAGATTAATCAGCCTTTCTCTTTGAAAATGTATCCACAGCTACTTTATAACAAATATCAGATTAATTCCATAGAAGACTTAGACAATATTTATAAATATTTCGCGAGAGTAAGACAGACAAGTTGGAAATACTGATCTAGATTGAAGACAATTATCATAGGGCTGGATTAATCAATTAAGCGATTAAGCAATTAACCCTTTTCTAGAAAAATTAATCAGCCTTTCTCTATGAAAACTAATCAAAAGCTACTTAATAACCAATATTAGAATACTCAGGCAGTATTTATAAATATTTGGCGAGAGTCTGTCACGTTGAAAATACTGATCTAGATCGAAGGACAATTATCATAGGGCTGGATTAATCAATTAAGTGGTTAAGTAATTAACCCTTTTCTTGAAAAATTAATCTGCATTTCTCTTTGAAAATGTATCAACAGCTACTTACTAACAAATATTAGATTAATTCTATAGAAGACTCAGACAATATTTATAAATCTTTCGTGACAGTAAGACAAACAAGTTGACAATACTGATTTAGATCAAAGGACGGTTGTAATAGGGCTGGATTAATCAAATAGGCGATGCTTTGGGCAAATATCATTGCCTTAGCGAGGGAAGCAGAAAAGAGGCTCTTTAAAGATAAATCCAATTCTGAAACGTTTAAGCAAGCCTTAGAAATGTGTCATTGCCTTAACATCCCATTACAGTTTGTAGAGAGTGAAAGAAAAACAGATATGTTTTTTAGAGGTTAATCTAATTTTTAAGTAAGTGTCATTGCATTGGCATCCCCGCGTAAACGAAGAACAGAGGTGGTGTTAAAAGATTTATCCATTTCCATGCAATCCATTTTAAACAAATATCATTGCCCTAACACACAAAGTACACAAAAGCTCTTAAACATGAATCCAATTTATAAGCCTTGTTTACAGGATCTAAGCAAGTGTCATTACCTTAACGCCCGCTTAATCTTAGCCCAATTTACAGCACACAATGGCAAACAGCAGCACGAGACATTGACCAAGCCGCGATTGGTGCGCCAGGAGGCGGTGCAGGAGGAGGAGGACTCATCGCCGCCACGTCTGGGCGTACGCTTTCTGCCCACCATACCTTCCGCCGCAGACAGCTCGGTTATAATGGATGACGGCGACTCGGCAAATGCGGCAGCCGGCAGTGCCGGTTGCCTGGGCATGCCGCAGCCGGGCGACTCGAGCGGATTTCTGGTGACGCCACCTGTGCAACTGCAGCCGGAGAAGCCACCGCCGGCGCCAACTGATGCGCCTGGATGACCAGGATTTTGGGGCAGCTGGAGGCGTCGGCAAGAGGAGACCTACCTGTAATTGGGGAACAGAAAGCTCACTGTGTTCATAGATTGTATAACGCGGGAATTGGGACAGAAATCGGGGCATAGTGTAATATTGCAACATGGCCATGTGATGCAGCCAGGCGTCGCCTATATAAATAATCTTAAGTAGTCAATTTGTTTGAGTTCGAGTCACATACACGCAAACACACACACACACAACCAGTTCATCAAATGGAAAAAAAGGAAACAACAACAGTTAAACACGAGTATTATGTGCTACATATATGTATATGTAATTTATTAATAGGTTAATCGACCCTATCGATAGGCTAGTATAACCAGCATATTTAGTGCGTAGACTAGCATAGTTTAAATGTCTATATTTCGATATGCGCGTCAAATATTTAGATAATGCTAAGCATTTGTCCACACTACTTGAAGATATGTAACAAGTTCTAAACACACTCACAGGCACACACACGCACACTCAGACACACGCATAGAAAACGATTGATACGAACATGAAACAAAGCCATACAAATATTAAAGTTTATCTATTTACAGTAATCGATCTATTTCTGTTGGGATAAACTCCAGGAGTTCTGGTTAGAACTCTCTAAAATACAATCAATTCCTTGTTTTGTGCTATATTAAAGATTAATTTTATTTTTAATGCTCAATAGAATTGGGATATAACTTCGATAATAGCCCTTTTCAGACTTTGAGCACATTAAATTGGCTGCGCATAGATCTTACCTGGCTTTAACCCTTGTGTCAGGCTTAAGTTTTTGAAAAAGCTCCAAATTTCTTTAAAATTGAACTTTGAATGATTAAATTCAAACATTTTTATAATTTCTTAAATATACTTGTGTGCGTTCTTATGATATATACAAGTTAATTCCAACGATGTTTAAACGACGAAAAATAATTTAACTTTGGGAAACAAGTCTTCTTTTATTTGATGTTATTTAGCAGCTAAATCAACTTAAATCAATTCTAGCCCTAGTAACCTGGAGAAGGGCATGTTGTTGTGTCCACTATCAATATGTCAAAAGCATTTGTTGGTGTTTCTGTGTAAGTTTGTATGTGTTTTTGACATTTGGCATTTATGACATCTATGTATGTACTCTTTTATATGACGAGTCATATTTTTCCAATAGGAGTGTCTTTTAATTTTCGCTAGCTGTTTGGTTTGTCAGCATGACCTCCTTGAATTGGATCGTCATGAAATGTAGACAATATAGATTCTTTTTCTTTTTCAATTAGGGTCACCGGGTTGAGTAGCGCTACTCTTAATGTTTTCAGTATTTTATTGCCCATTTGTTTGATATTATCAATTGAAACTTGTTCAAAGATATTTGCCCACGGTGACACTTTGAGTTGGTTGATTTGATAAATACTGGCTTGCTTTTGGAAGAACTGATCTAATTCAAGAATTCCATTAGTATACAAATCGCTAACATCATACTTTACGTACTTCGTCATTGTTGATGACTTCATATACGTTGGGCTTTGAAGCTTTTTCTATAGCTTGCCTAGGCAAGTCTACTTTGATATCTAGTAGTGACTTTCATTATCTTTCTTGTAATGTCTTTTAGTTCGTTGATGGTTATTCTTAATAACGCATCAGCTACATAATTGTCCTTGCCTTGCCTCCGAGAAAAGTGACCTCCTTCATGAAGAATGAGCACTTATCTGGATGCAACTTGATGTTGTTTTTTTCTGCATAGATCGAAAACATTTGTGAGATTTTTGGTCATATGCTTTTCAGAACAACCAATGACAATTAAGTCATCCATGTATTAGAATGCTTGAGATGGTGCAAGGCCAGTGAATGCGATTGTCATCATTAGTTGAAAAGAATTAGTCGCTATTTTAAAACCGTAAGGTAATCGTGTGAAACATAGTGGGCGTCATTACAATTGTATTTTTGTTTTTTTTTATTTCATTTTAAGTTTAATTTAAAAAATTAACGTTTGGCTGCCTGGTTTCGCACAGGCCGGGTTGAAAAATGGTCCAGCGCAGTCGGCAGGGCAACTCTTTGTCATTTTTGGCAGCGGCTTTTTTTCTGCTTGAGGAGGGCTGGATTTTTTAGATAAGTTCGTTATACATTGAGTGGAAGGTGTTTTCGTTTGTGTTTTGTATCTTTTTGATTCTTCTTCGAGAAAGTCTAGCTCCTCGGCTAGCCTCCTGGCATCGTTCCAAATCGGGGTCTTGCTGCTGTTATATAATAACTTGCATATTTCAGCTTTACGTTTCTTTATACGCAGCTGAATTCTTTATTTTCAGCCTGATCACTGGCTGTTTTTTGTCTTGCCCTATGGACATTTGGACAATTTTCACAAACGAAATACACCTCACTCACTCAGAACTTTTAATCCGTTGTTGTGGCTGATAGATGCAGCCTTCATTGTCCCGCGCCGCTCAGGTTCCCCCTCATCATGGCTGCTGCAGTCGGGTCTTCCCGCGGCGTTGTAGAATTAATATTGCTCTTGCTGCCGTGCTCTTGTTTCTGTGTATTTGATGTTGTCGCTGTGTTTTTTTTTTAGTTTCTCCCACGTTACGTGTCACTTGTCACGCTTGCCATGTAATAACCCTTTAGATTTTCGTAATAAATTGAACGCATGCTTAGCCTATGGATAACATATACATATAAACTTATGCTATTATCAGTTAACAGCTTCAAAGAGAGGGAGAGTGAGTAGCTTGCATATGTCTGTGTTAGTGAGCAGTCGATAACTACTAGGTCATCCAAATAGAGAAATGCTTGGGCTGGCTCTAGGCCTGAAAATGCGAGTGCCATCATTCGAATAAATGAATTTGGTGCTACCTTAAGACCATATGGTAACCGCGTGAAGCGATAAGAGCCAGTGCTCGTTGAAAATGATGTTATATTTCTAGATTTGTCATCTAGTTCAATTTGGTGAAAACCTGACATAAGATCGAGACATGAAAAATATTTAGCTCGTCCTAATTGGTCAAGTATTTCCTCAATTCTTGGCAGTGGATATTTATCTGCTAAAAGTTTTTTTGTTAATTTGGCGATAATCAACTACTAAACGCCATTTTTTCTCCTTTGAATTTGGGAGAGATTTCTTGGGTACAAAGAGAAGTGGGCTATTGTATTCTGAGATAGATGGTTATACTATCCCATCTTTTATTAGTTTTTCGACCTGCCTGTTAATTTGTGGCTTTTCTGTTTCTGCATTTCAGTAGTTTTTAATATATACGGGTGTTTTGTCTGCTAATCTTAATTTCTATTTATAAAAATTGTTACTTGAAACTGCTTCTGTTTCTAGACCAAATATGTCACTGTATTTGGTACATAAGTCAGTAAGCGTGTTTTTAAGTTGTTCAGGGAAATTTAATTTATTTATGACTTCATCTGTTCTATTGCCGCTATTTATGTTATTTATTTTGATGTCATATTGTTGTAATGACTCAAATTTTACTTCGGGATTTTGAATTTTTATATGTTTACTATTTGTATTTAAAATATGGACTATTGCGCTATTACTTTTTACGATTATTACACCAGGGTGTATTTCCTAGTTTGGTATAAGAACTGTATCTTCATTTGTCAGAAGCGTAATTTTTCTTATTACTTCTGATCTAGCTGGTAACAATATTGAGTTATCAATATCATTATGTAATAATAATAATCTATTATGCAATTGAATTTTCTGATGAAGTCTAGTCCAAGAATTCCACCGCAAGGTATGGGAAATTCATTGTGGACTATTTGGAAATTGTGGCTGATTACGAAGTAATCGAAAAGTAGATTAATTGTGGATTGTCCAATTGACTCTATTGTTCCCTGTCCAATTCCTGTTATACTTGTTTTATAGTCTTGATTTACATTTGAATCTGTTTTATTGTTTTTTAAAATTGAGACATTTGCTCCTGTATCGACTAGCAGAGTTAATGGTATATTATTTTTCCTATTGTATATTTTGATGAGACTACTGAGACTTAGATTTATATGATAAATTGTTATTACTCGTTGCTCAAGGGGGTTTGTTAGTATTCCGAGTTGCCTTGTGTAACTCGAATCTGGTTTTGCTGTCTGGATCCTCTGTTTGAGCCGCCTCGAGGATTGCCTCTGTTATCATTGTTTCTATTACCATTATTATTATTTCTGTAGCCGCCTCTGTTGTATGGTCGGCCTCTATAATTACCTCATCCGCGGTTTCCACTACGAGGATAGTAATTTTGGTAATAAAGGACAGTATTGGTTTGTCCGGTTGCTTCTGTGCAACTATCGGCAAATTTGGATATGGCATCATTCATGTTATTGAATGCGCCTGCTTGCATGATAAGTTTTACCTTATCTATAGCGCAGTTCTTGGTCATGGCCTTTACTGCTTGGACCGTAATGTATTTATTGGCCAAATCTGGCGTTAAACCATCGTTTATAAAAGCTCCTTTTAAAGCTTTTGTTAACTGCTCAACCTCTTGAGTGTACTGGTTGGCAGTTTTGCTTTTTTGTTGCAAGTTAAGTAGTTTGGCTGTAAATCTTCAACTGATTCGCCTTTTACCGTGCTTGATAATTTTGCAATGATTTGAGCGATTGTTTGCTCATTGCTTATCAAGTTTCTCGCATGGCCTTTTAGTTTTGTCTTAATGAGACTAATAGCTGTTGTTTCATGCGAGCCTTTTAGGGAATCAAGGAGATTCAAAGCGTCTATGAAACTTTGTGAATTTTCTGCCTTTCCATCGAACTCTGGTATGAGTGATGGGGCTAATTTTAAAAATTTAACTACTGTTTGAGCCATGTTTATTTTGTTTATACCTTCCAGTTTTTCGTCTGTCGTTGATTCTGCCAACAGTGACTTATCAAATGTTGCCGGTGTATTTAACACTGATGGTAGATAAAGCTTGAGATCATACTTTTTATTTAAGTTTACCAGATTATCCCTTAGACGCTGTAAAACGTCTGAAGTTTGGACTCTGTGTAAACTTGTCAGTTCATTTTGACACTCGGTAACTAGACTCCTGATTTCATTGTACTCATATACAAGGATCTCAGT